ATGCACGTTCGTTGGCAGTTGGTTCTATATTACATCTGAGAGAGGAGGGCGCCTCTCGGCCGGGCGTCCGGCCCCCCCGCCCCCCCCCCCCCCTCTCCCCGCCTGAAGGGCGGGAGAGAGACGCAGGACGGGAGAAGGAGGAAGAGGGGGGTGCAGGACGATGGAGGCACCGGGCGGGGAGCGGAGTAGGCAGGGCAACAACAAGGACAGGGGGCGCGCATGCGCGCTTAGTTGAACTTCACCGAGCGGACGTTGTAGTCCTTGATGCCGGTGACCTCGCCCTCGTAGGGGTTGAGCTCCGGCTGCCAGGACTTGTGGCCGGCGCTCTTGAGCTTGATCTTGGCCTGCTCGAAGCGGATGCGGCGCTTGACGCGGGGGTTCTTCAGCAGCTTGTTGCGCTTGGGCGTCAGGCCGCGATTGGAAATGATGCTCTTCTCCAGCAGGCGCTTGGAGCCGATGACGTTGGCCGCATCCTCGGGGGCGGACTCGCTGGGCGAGGGGTAGACGGGCGAACAGGAGCGGGCCGGGGAGGGGGCAGGGGGGGGCAGGGGGAGCGAGAGACAAAGAGGGAGGCAGGAGGAGTGTTAGGGGCAAAGGCCAGCGGGGAAGCCGCAAGCGGCCGGGCGACGGCCCCGGCCCCAGGGGGGGAGGGGTCCAAGGGACAGTCGCAGCCCGGGGATATCGCGGCGAGGCGAAGAAGCGCAAGAAGGATGGCGCAAAAGCGCCAGGAGGGAGGGGGGGGGAGAAACCGAGCAAGCAAGCAAGAGACAAGCACAGGAACAGGTCACACATGACGCACCCCTTGACAGCGGCGCGGGCAGCACGGCGAGCCGCCGCCGCCGTGGCGATCTCCTGGTAGTAGGCCAGGCTGTCCTGGACCGCGCCGGCCGGCGCGTCGGCCTCATCCTCGACCTGCTGCTTGGCCAGCTGCTGGCGCATGTGGGCCGCGCGCAGGCGCTTGCGCTCCGAGGCCCCGTGCATGCCGTCGGCACCGGCGGCCGTGGGCAGCGCGCGCTTCTTGGTGGTCGGCGCCGGGCCCTTGGACGAGGCCGCGGCACCGGTGGCCGATTTGGCCACAATGTCGGCGCTGCTCAGCCGCTTGGCCCCGGGCTTGTCGGACTTGGAGGCCGGGGCCGAGAAGGACGGCAGGCTCGGGACGGCCGACTTGCTGGCGGCCTCGGCCAGGGCGGCGGCCATCTGCGCGCGCCGGTTGCCGTGCGATCCGGCCTTGCGGGCGGGGGCGATCATCGACATGGCGATCGGGGGGAAAGAGAAAGGGCAAGAGGGGCCGGCGGCGGGGGGCGGGGGGGGGGGGGAAGAGAGGGGGAGGGGGCGGGAGGGGAGGGGAGGGCACAAGAGGGGCGCGCGTGGGCGAGAGGAAGATGCATGCTTGTCCGGGGCGCATGGTGCAAATCGAGCTCGTCCTGGCCTTTTGACTCTCGAGATGTCCGTCACACACAGCCACACACACATGCGCGTGCGCACACACGCACACACGCACACACACACGGGACGGTGGTCCCTTGCCCCCCAGTCCTTCTCCTGCCCGCGCGGGCCGACAGCGTCATCCATGGTGCGTCCATGCCCGGGGCAGCGGCCCCGGCGGGGCGGCAGCAGCAACACACACACGCGCGGGGCCGGCCGCACGACCACACGATGCTGCGCATGTGACCAGGATCACGCGAACTCCGGGCGCGCCCGCGGAGCCCCCGGTCCAGGCACCGGCCGTGTGTATGTGTATGTGTGTACTTCCGCGCGCCACGGCCGCGAATGGGCGCCGGAGCGATTCTGAGGGGGTTCCGTCGGGGGGGGGGGGGGGG